GCCTTTGGTTCCAGCTCATGGGTGCGGCCGTTGGCAACTCCACTAGACGAGGCTGGGCTCCAGGATCCAGGCTGCTGTAGATGGGGTTCAGGTTTGCTCGTTTCCTGTCCTGCATGGACCAGTGGCTACCCAGCTTGTTCTTCTCACAGAGTGACGGGAATCCAGGAAGTCAAACTGCACAAGCACAGAAAGCGCTCTGCTTTCAGAACTATTAAAATTCTGTTGGCCAAATTGCCTTGGCTCAGCCTCAAGTCGAGGCATAGGGAAGTACACTCCACCCACCAAGAAGCCATGGCCAGGACACAGATACCAGAGGTGAACCGAGGATACCGATCCAATCTGCTGCGAGCTGCATGACTTCTGCTACCCATCTCTGCAGACCACAGCTTCTTCCTCTGTTCCTCTTACGTGTGACTACCTAGAAGGCAAGGCCCACTCGGGCAAGCTTTTTTGTCTGCTCTGTCCACTGCAGTATTTTGGGTACACAGGTTTTGCGTGTTTTGCTGCTACCTGCCTACCGCACTTGCTGTCTAGTGCATAGAACAATGCTCCGTATTTGATAGACATTGACATGCCTGGCTGGCCCACACAGTGCCATTTAGGGGCAACGCTAAGAAGAGGACACGGATAAGCAGATGCCCTCATTGTCTATTCCACATGACATATAAACACCTTCATGATCTAGTCCAGGTCTACCAACTGGATGCTAGTATGGTAGTTAAAAAGACAATCTGTAGGAACCGAAACACCTAGTTTCAAATTCTGAGTTAGCTGAACCTTCATTTCCCATCTGTAAAATGGTAACAATTACCTTCTGGAGTGACCGTAGGATAATCTATGGAAAGATCTTTATACAACGCCTGACTCATAACAAACTCTGAACAAATGGTGGCCAGTCCTATGAAGTCTTATGTCTATCACACCTCTCCTTACTACTCCTCTACCCACAAAATACACTATTAAAGATCAGTAAGAATTTTTGTTAGCCAGGCATGGGGGCGCCTGTCTGTAAATTCAACTACTCAGGAGACTGACGGGGAAGAATCACAAGCTTAAGGCCAGTGTGAGCAACCCAGTGAGACTCTGTCCCAAAATAAAGAGGTAAGGCTATATGCTTAGTACTCCCTTGTTGCGGCAAATGGGCTTATGTAATTGAGTCACCCGTGGAGGCCAGATGCAGGGACAAGAAAGTATACTGGGGGCTGGTGGCGGGCACCCAGTACATGACCGAGCACGGACCCCAAAGGGCAGGAGGGGAGAACAGCTATACAGTTTTAGTGCCAGGTCTAGTTCCGGGTCTGCGGGGTGGTGCTGATATGATTTAGTGTAGCTGCAGAAATACTACGAAGCATGGGCTTAGCTTGTGACAAAGGAACAAAGGCGCTTGACATTTTACACTGGGGACAAGCAGTCTTACGACAGGGGTGGTATCTGGTTAGGTAACTATAACAACATTTACATGAACCAAACTTAAGGAACCAGAAACTTAAGCTTTAAAATGGCACTAGAACACAAAATGGCGTTGGTTTAGTTTTCTTTCCCATATCACTGAGTTCAGTCCTGATTACCATAAAGAAAAAAAGAAGCTTGTGTTAGCAGAACACCCCCACACACTGTGCTACGTCACACATGGTTATCAGTTCCCAGCTGGTTAACAGGCACCCACATTCCTCATGGCAAAAGTCTCCTTGTTGGGTCAGCTGAAACAATGAAGTCAAGGTCACTTTTACATCCTTGATTACATACTGAACATAATCTTTTCTATCAAGTTTTTTGTTTGTTTTGTTTTTGACACAGGGTCTCACTATATACAGTCTAGGAGGGCCTTGACCTCACAGTGATCCTCCTGCCTCAGCCTCCCAAGTACGCCACCACACCCTCTCTACTATGTTTTTGTATTGGTTTCATTTCTGTTGAATTCAATATTTCATCCTATGACGTTCACTGAGACATAAATGAAATGAGCACCATTCAGGTTTAAATTCAGGTTTAAAATTTTAAAATTTTAATTTAAATTCAGGTTTAAAAACCAATGCTCATTTATTTGCTTTTTAAAAACTTTAATAGGAAATTTCAAAGGTACAAAAATAGAAGGAACGCAATAACAGATCTCCATGCAAAACACCCAGCTTTGGCAATCCCAGTCGTGGCTGATTTTCATCTCCTCCTTTATCCCACCTCCTTCCTCTTGCTCCAGATCATTCTGAAGCAAATCCAGGGCATCCATATGAATACATTATTTTTAATCACAGTTCTTGGATCAGCTCTCACATTATCAGCAAAAAAGTAAAATACTGGAATGTCCAAGGCCCTGGGTTCACTACGCAGCATCATAAAAAACAAAAGAGCCAGTTAAAATGGCAAGATATCCTCTAATCCCACCCTTCCTTCTCTTCACTTTACTCACACATGGCTAGCTCGACACCATCACTACAGCCTTCAGAACGGAAAGTGGTGTTCACCTAAGACTGGCTGAGCCCCACACAGAAGATGTTTCTTAATCCTATGGTTGGTTTCTCTATGCATTTCATCAGAAAAGGAAAGTATGTATGTTGAGTGGTAGCTTTTATATTTTTCACACTTACATGGGAAAGTTATCAAGGTAATTCAAAGACAAGGCAGGGTGGAAAAGCTCTTTTAATCTAGAAGGATGGATTAGTCAAGCAAACAGGAGTTTAGTAATATCCAGCTTGCTGCAAGGGACAAAACGCCTTTTTTTTGGTACTGCGGATTGAACCCAAGGAACACTGAACTACACTTCCACCCACTTGGGGGACAGGGTCTTGCTAATTTGTCCAGGTTGTCCTTGAGTGATTCTCCTGTCTTAGTCTTGGGACTATAGGAATGCACAACCACACGTGGCAGGACAAAATAGCTTTTAAAAAAGCAAAGAAGCTAGGTGTGGTGCAGTACACTTATAATCAGCACTCTAGGGAGGCTGAGGTAAGAGGATCACAAATTCCAGTCCATCCTGGCTATTTAGCAATACCCTGTCTCCATACAAAGAATAAAAAGGGCTGCAGATATAGCTCAGTGTGTGAAGACCCAGGGTTCAAATCCCAGTACTGCAAAAAAAAAAAAAAAAAAAAAGAACACATCTTCTTAAACTCCAAAAAAATATAATTCAAGCTGGGGGCTTAAATCCAGAAATTCAAATTTAAGGCATTTGCCTTTTAAATCCAAAAAGAGTCCGAAATAATTTGGATGGGTTTACAAAGCTGGCTTTGTTATTCACAACTGGTTTTTTCTTTAAATCTACCAAAAATTCCACTTTTAGTATATGACAGAATGCAAATCAGACTCCTTCATAGGTGCACCCGGCTATCTGATTGCATGTCATCAGAAAGCACTATAAGGACAAAGTATTACAAGGGGGGAATTGTGTACAGCACAGTTTGTAGACAATCAGAAGTCACTGATCTTCTCAATCTTAATTTTAAAAATCTCAATTTGCTCAGGCAAATCATTCTTCTGAAATTCAACCACTAGAATTAAGCTGAAAATAGAGAATTTCACTAATGCCCTTTCAAAAAAATGTCAACATCTCTATCCTCACATGTACAACACAGAGAACATCTGGAATGTAACAAAGGTAAATGAACAGCAATGACTGCTTTTGAGTTATTACTAATAACCTGGAACAGAACCGACAAAAATTACACTCACAAAATGGCTAAGACATATTTGCGCGTTGTGGCAACACTATGGACTGGTAAGCAGAAGCATTTATGCCTCCCTTCTTCCTTGCATTTCCCTCCTACTGAGGCTAGAAAAGAAAAAAAATTAGATTTTAAATATTTGCAACTAGGGAAGGCCGTGTGATACAGAAAACCAAGGAGGGCTGTCCTTTTCCAGTAAAAAAGTGTAAGTCTTGCTAGGAAAAAGCCCCTTTACCTTTTCTTTCTTGAATGTGGATAAAAGGAAGCCCCCTTAACCACAGAACAAAGAACATGAACGTAAAGGTCCACGTAGCACACCACGTGGAAAAGCGTGAGGAGACAGGGTCCGCTGGCCACTTCTCAGGTCTGGACTGCCCCCCTCTGGACTTATATATAAAAGATATAAATGCTATCAGATCAAACTACTATAGGAGGTTTTTTACTAGTAGCAAGTGCTATAGTAGGTTCTACAGTACTCATCTACTACAGCAGGGTTACTAAATGCACTTGTAGTAACAAATATAAAAATCTCACAGGGGGGGCGCGGAGGCTGAGGCAGGAAGATCAGGAGTTTGAGGCCAGTCTGGATTACACAATGAGTTCCAGGTCAGTCTGGCTACATAGCAAGACTTTGTCTCAAAAAACAAAGTATAACAATCAAAACAAGAATTCTCAAGAAAACGCTCACCAACTCTTCAAATATTCTTTATCCCTTTTTTTTTTTTTTTTTTTTTTTTTTTGTATCGGGAATCGAACTCATGACCTTGAGCTTGCCAGGCAGGCGCTGTGCCACTGAGCTATATCCCCAGCCCTGTCTTCAAATATTCTAAAAAACTCTCAATGATAAGCTTGAATGTTCGCTTACAACTAAAGATGAATGACACATAACCAACGTAAACGGGGGAGGGA